AAATGGTTGACAAGGGCCTTTCTGCAAATATGCTCTTCGAACTTGATCTCTAATATTTGGATGATACCTTGAGATCGGTATTCTCAATCCAGGGTCAGATGGAAGTTGGGAAGAATCAAACTCATTAGCGGTGACTGATTGTAGGATATTTACGTTATTTTGTTCGTCATTTGTTGTTGAGTTTTCTTGAATTGTAGTTGACGGCACTATAACTTTGGATGAGCTACTTCCATTAGCTTTTTCGTCAACAGGGTTATAGTATCTCTTCATTACATTTTTTGAAAATAACGAAATGACTAATTACTACACTAATATTAATTAACTTAATAATTAGATTAATAAGAACAAGTCACATGCAAATTTATACTATAAATGATGATTACAATTTACAATTTTACAAATAACAATCAAATTCATATCAAGCAAACCTGTAGTTTAGTCTTTAACTTGAATTAAAAACACAATAAAATTAAAAGATTAAAAAAATATCTCTTAAGCACTTAGGACTTAGGCACCAGTTCTCACTTCTTAGGAATCAGGCATATCCTCACATAGCCTTGTGTTCTTCATAGTTGATTTGCTTCAACCGATACTTTGCAATATAGTAACTTATATTCACTGAATCACTGGCTCACTGCACAACAAGTATCAATACTAATTCATATTATCCAAAAACAAATACTAATTAAATCAATTAATACAAATACTATTATACTAATCTTCAACAAATTTGATAAAATTCAATAAATTAAATAAAATGTAAAAATAAAAGGTTGGAAATTAGACCTCTATTGAGCGGATTGACCCAATATGAGCCGACAAAGGATTGGACTAGGAGAGTAGGAGGGGCGGCGTTCGGTGGAGTTCAGCCGCTGCAGACTGCAGTTGGGGCTGACTGCTGAGGTCCTGCGTGCGGCATCACCGGCGTGCCTGCGTGATGTCTTGGGGGACGGTCGCCGGTCGGACGGAGGTTTTGCCAGGTCGTTTACTCGTTTTGCCGAAATCGTCGAAGGCTCGAAGGCCTGTTTTTTTCGTTGGGGGTTTTCGTCGAAGAAGAAAGAACGCGGCTCTGTGCTGGACTGTTGGGAGTGTTGGCTGCTTGGATTTGGAAAGTTGGACTGGGCCTAATTTTTTAAAAATTGAGACTGGGCCTGATTTATAAACTTATATACTACTTAAAAAAATCATCATGGGCCTAGGCCCTCCCTAGCCATAGGCCCAATCCGCCCATGTCTATATACAGGGGATTGTCTTCATAGTCCTTTAATGTATCGTTGCCGCTTGGTTACTAGTAGAGAGAGAAGTCAATGCCTCATGGTGAGTGATTAGGTTACCCTACTATGACTACGTTTATGTCATCTATCCTATTTGCGTCTTTGCCGCAACAAGGATTTGGCAGTTTGGGAGAGTAAAGCACTGAAATTGAGCATGTGAGAGTGCTCACTTTCTTTGAAAAAATACAAATCATTTGAATAGTGGTTGATTTTTTATTAGTTCTAGCAATTCTCTTAAACAATCAATGCACGAATCATTAATATCATATTTTCATCGTATTCAAGTTTAAGGAATTGTTGCATATCTTTTGCTTGTGCTCACGTTGCTTGCATCTCCCAAATTTGTCGTGACAAAAGTTCATCAGTTGAAGATTTTTTTTTATTTTCTAATCTTCCAGTTGTTCGTTTATGTGGAATTAGTGAATTTACCACCCATATTTGGTATTCCATTAGAACATCGTTATTAGAGAAATCTTCTAAATGATGTATCGCACTACAATATGCTTATAATCATGCATTATTCTTGTAGTGTCTGAAAATAAAGTCATAACACGATAGACCTTTACGGCGTGCAATGGTTACCACGTCATTTACACGAACAATGTTTTTCAATTGAAATTCTTTACAGATGCACTAAGCATTAAGTAGTACTTGGTCTTATACACAAACATTAAGTTGTTTATGATTATGTAATGCACTAGTTAACCACTTTATACTACAGTTATATATTACATTTCAAATATATACCGCAATACATAATTGTTGAAGCATTTCCCGCACGAGTAAAATATGAATTAATGAAGTGTTATATTAAGATTCTAGCTCCTCCTATCAAGTTAACCTTTTGTTATGAAACTCAAGTATTAACATAGTATCAGAGTCAAACCGGTCCATATGGTGTGAACCCTATGAAAAATGACGAGTCGATTAAATAACAATGGCGAACCGTCAATTATTGAAGTATTTTCTACACCAATTTAATATGAACTAATAAGGTGTTATATTAAGATTGAGGCTACTCCTCCAATCAAGTTTATTTTTTACAATGGAACCCAAAATCTTAAAATTAGGATGAAACTCGGTAATTATATTATAATAAAATGTAATTACATAATAACCTACAATCATCCTTCTAGAATCATTGAGAAGGTAGTTTTGACATATTTTCAATTGCTAATTTCCTTCTATCATGGAACTATTGTTGCACCTTTAATCTTAGGAAATCAAAAAATACCGTTATTGGGTATCCTCTTATAATTACATCTGTTGCGTTTAGTTACTCTGCATTGTTGGATGTTACCACCGAGAATCTCCTACATTTGAATTTACACTTTCCCCATTTTCATGAATAATGTTAGCCAGGTATTCCCTTAGATGAGTATCATGTGTCACCTGTGTGTCTAATAACTTCAGACCAGACTTGGATACTTATAAAACATGTACACATAGACCATACATTTATCAGATCAAAAAATTTCAGTCAAAGTAAAAACATTCTAATTAAAATTACAATAATAAACATTATATATACTATGCATAATATTGCATTAAAATTTCACTTATGATATACTTCCTCTGACTCATAATTAAGTTTCACCTTTCCTTTTTGGAAAATCCCAAAATAAAGTTTCCACTTTCACTTCTTTTTATATCTGGTAAATTTATATTATTCAATTACCATTTTAACCTCACATCACTTCATTGAGTTGATGCGTGTTAACCCTATTTCACTATTCATTCACCCTTTTAGTATACCCATTTGGGTACTATATCTTTTAATTATCCAAGAACGTTTTTGGAAAACCAACTTTATTTTGTATTCTACGTAAAACTCTGTGAAGTCAAATTAGGAACTTAATTTCGGAGCAAAGAGAATCTTCAAATACAAATGATGATATATTCAAACATAGATACTAAAATTGAGTATCATATATAAGCAATTATATTTGAAAAGGTAATCAAATCAAATGCAAATGTTGTTTTATGTTCGAATACTAAGATATTTTCACTTATTTCAGTCTCGCTATGTAATGTACTGGATCAGAAATCCATCAGACTAGACCAAAATGGACAAGACTTAAACAGACTAAATTAGACCTGATCAGACCTAATATCTACTAGTTATAAAGTTCAATTGGATTCCAATACTCTAATTTTCGTTAACAATGATACAAAAGAAGGATTTAATGCATCAAACTTCCTCATGAAATATAAATCTGACGCATTAGCCCGTGATTTATGACCGTTCATGTGCAAAACACTTTCTATGAACAAATTTAATTGTCAAAAAATGAGAAACGATTAGTTTTTTTGAATTATTTAGAAATTTTGACAAAAGTATTTGTATACTTGATCATATTATTAAGAAAAGTAATTTCAAATTGTAAAATTTGTTTTTAAAGATGGTTTTGCCCATAAATAGTTACTACCTCCGTCCCATTAGAAGGTTCTCGTCCACTATTCATATGGTCAATTTAAATCATTTTTAATCTTTTGCTTTACAGTGTCGTCTAATGAATTTGGAGGCCCCGGTTCTAAATGTAAAATCAAGGTCCCACATAAATATAAAAAAATGAAAAAATATCAATCCAAATACTTATACTCAAAACAATTGAATACTCATTAAAAAAGAATTAAAGGAGTAAAAAGACCAACGAAAAAAATGATGGGATCTATATTTTTTTCCTTACTAAATGTATTTCACTAATTAATATTGATATATAATATTACTACATACCATATACGGAGTAGTACTAAAAGAAATTTAAATTTTGCGGCCTCAAAAATCCGGAGGCCGTGTTCTAGATAACCTATTGAACCCCCTAAAAACGGCCATGTTGCTTTATATATCAAATTTTTGTCACATTTACATTTTTTATCAGGCTTTGTAGCGGTTTTAATGCAGTTTTTGAACATGTAAATTTTATTTAATAAAAATAATCAGTGTGTGAACATGGATTAAGTTGCTTTATTATCAGTCAAACATCGTAAACCGTTACGAGAACCTTCTAGCGAGACGGAGGGACTATAAAACATGATAGTGGCTGGCATTTTGGACCGAAAAACTGAAAACCGAACCGAAAAAAACCGAAGCGCTTTAAAAAAAAAACGAACCAAACTGAACCGATATAATTTGGGACCCGAAAATTGGGACCCGAAAAAAAATGATTCAGAATCAATTTATAGTGCCAATATATCGGTTTGAACCGAACCGAACCGACATTTTATTAATAATAATTATAATGGATTTTATAGTTAATGACCTTTATTAAATGTATATAAATGATAGCAGTCCAAAAGAAATAAACAAAGCTCTCCAGTGAGATGGTTGCCAAGCTCTTTAGAGAAATGAGAGAACTTCCTCCTCAAAAGCAACTATACACTGATGTTTTCTCTACAATCAATCCGTGATGGTCCTACATAATCCATGAGATTGTTAGGCAAAGTAAATTTGGGCTTGCTCTTTTGAAAGCTTGGGCTGAAATTGGGCTTGCACTTTTGAAAGCTTGGGCGTAGTATATTGAAAAGTTCAAATATTTTGTTTAAATATTAAAAGTCGGTTCTGGATTCGGGTCTTGGTAAACTGACCCAAAATATCGGTTTCCGATAATTCGATACCCATTTCTGAACTGTTCGGTTTCGGTTATGGTTATTTGGACAAACGAAATGTGGGTTCTTTTTCGGGTTAACCCTAATCCGTTCGGTACCCGAACCTATTAGCTAAAAAGAACGCCGAAGTTGGGCACCGAAGCCCCAAAGTCCCTTTCAGATTAATTTTTCTTTGCCTTAAACCCTACAAAAGAACTCCGAAGTTGGGCAGCTTCATCCTCTTCCTCCGGGCCAAGAGACGGTGGTGGTGGGACCGGAAGACCCTTTGACTACGCCCCAATGTGATGATGATACTCCAACTACGGTACAATTTCATCATAGAAAAACAAACCGCAGTAATAATGATAAGAATAAGTCAACAATCAACTGCGACAGCTAGTTGGAAAACGAGGTGCTCCTATTCTTAATCCTATCCAGGTTTGAAAGTTCTAGGGTAATCCATTCATTCATTGAAAGATAATACCAACACTTATCAGTTGCAGGTTATTTTCTTTTTATGTTTCCCATTTGCTATTTGTGGGATTCCCTGAAGATCCTGTTTTCATTTATGGGTACTTTTTAATACGGAGTAGTTGTCTGCTTGATCAACTATCTTCTTGAATTATTTATTTTGGACCTTTTCCAAAGATCAGTTTTTTTTCTCCGCCATATCGTCTCCAGGATCTTCCCTTTTTGCTAAATAGTTTTGTAGTTCATATTCTCTCCATTTGCACATGCAATTGCAGATTATTGTAGTTGATTTTGCTTTGATTATCTGCCTCATAACGAGATGTGTACAGTTTCTTTATATGCTTAAAATTCGTGTTTCATCTTTGTTTCATTTAGTTAATTAATTCTTAAGCTCATTTACGTGTTTCTTTGTCTATCTTTCTGTGAAGCAACTTTTGAAGTATAGTTTCTGAGTAATGTGTGGGCCTGTGGGAACTGATCCCAACTCATTGTTGTCAACATTTTGGTAGACCCTGTAATTATTAATTACATAAATACTTGTTGCCAAACTAGAAAATTAATTAAGTTTGTGATGGATCATGGTAAGACGCCTTTTAACAAAGCCTCTCATCTTCTGCGACTGCTATGAAGATGGATGCTTGAAGTTGTCAACAACTTAAAGCCATAATTTTTCACTTACTTTAGTTCTTAGTCTCTGTTTGATAGCATCAATCTGCTTATTCAGCAGATCAGCAGAATGAGCCAGAATACCCATATTTTTTTAGCATTGCGCTTGAATTTCATGGTCAATGTGCTTCCATAATTCTTTCTTTTTACTGATTAAGATTTATAAAAATATCTTGATATATCTTCACATGGATTTTGTGCAAATGATGTATTCAGACTTTGATTCTCTCTCTTTTGGCTACTAGATTGTTATATGATGGTGTAAAGTCGTCTGATAGTCTGTTTAATCACTGTGTGCATCCAGGAGTTATTCTTGGCCTAATTTCCAAGGAAACTTGTGGTAAAGAAGCAAACAATGTCCTTAGTGAGATCATCCACGACATATGGAAGCCATAAAATGTATTTGTCGAATAGTCACGGTGACAACTCCTCCGGCTTATCCATATTCAACTCAGACAAACATGGAATAACATCATATGCAGCATCCGAATCTTGCAGCAGCGAAAGTTATGATGCAAACTACTTCTTTAGTTCCCCATCCACGTCATCTGATATTCTTGACCCACTGAAATGCAATAACTCCTTTCAGATTAATTTCAATAGTTCAGAGTACATAGCTAACCAAAGTCCCATTCCACTAGACTTTGATGAAGGTAATGTGAAACTGAAGCTTCAAGAACTGGAAAGAGCACTTCTTGACGACAATGGCGATGATGATGAGTTTACTCGGACTAGTATTGAAGTTGAGAGCTTGGTGCAAAAGGAATCTCCTGAGGAATCTTTATCATCAGATTCTGAGGTCAGCATCATCAACAGCAGCAATAGGGGGGACAATAGACCATTAATAACTCCTAGGAAGATGCTCTTCACTTGTGCTTATGCGATACAAGAGGGAAATATAGAAAAAGCGTCAGCGATGATAAATGAGCTCAGGCAGATGGTATCCATCCAGGGAGAACCTTCAGGAAGAATTGCTGCCTACATGGTAGAAGCTCTGGCAGCGCGTATCGATTCATCCGGAAAAGGTCTCTACAAAGCCCTGAAATGTAAATCACCTCCTTCTAATGACCGGCTTTCCGCCATGCAAGTCCTCTTTGAGGTCTGCCCGTGCTTTAGATTTGGGTTTATGGCGGCAAACGGTGCAATTCTGGAGGCATTGGCTGGCGAAAGAAGAGTCCATATTATAGACTTTGACATCAACCAAGGAAGTCAGTACTACACATTGTTGCAAACACTTGCCGGCATGAGAAAGACGCCTCATCTAAAGTTGACCGGGGTTGACCACCCTGAATCAGTTCAGCGGGCCAATGGCGGTCTCCGTCTTATCGGACTGAGGCTTGAAAAGCTGGCTGAAGATCTGAATATCCCATTCGAGTTCCAGGCCGTGCCATCCCAATCAACATTAGTCGCCCCCGCCACACTGGGCTGCCAGCCTGGCGAAGCAGTCATAGTGAACTTTGCGTTTCAGCTACATCACATGCCAGATGAGAGTGTGTCGATGGTGAACGAGCGGGACCGGCTGTTGAGGATGGTGAAGGGCTTGAACCCGAAGGTAGTGACTGTTGTCGAGCAAGATGTGAACACGAATACTTCCCCTTTTCTTCCCAGATTTGCAGAGGCATATGACTATTACTCTGCTGTATTTGAATCACTTGATGCAACTCTTCCAAGGGACAGCCAGGAGAGGATGAATGTGGAAAGGCATTGCCTGGCACGTGACATTATCAACATCGTTGCATGTGAAGGCGAGGAAAGAATAGAGCGGTATGAGGTGGCTGGGAAATGGAGGGCCAGGATGATGATGGCCGGGTTCAGGACATGCCCTATCAGCAGAAACGTAAATGATTCGATTAGAAAGCTTATTAAGCAGTACAGCGAGAGGTACAAGGTAAGGGAAGATTCAGGGGCACTGCATTTTGGATGGGAAGACAAGATCTTGATTGTTTCTTCTGCATGGAGGTAAAAGCACATAACTTGTGTCTCCCAAATGAAAATATCATGTGATCGGAAGCTACTAATCCGTCTGACTTAACAATTAAAAACGGAATGCTGTGTATGACTTTTATATGTACATATGTAACGTTGTTTGAGATACTTGGTATTTAGGTAATGTTGTTGTGCTAATTTAGTGTCTTTAGAAAATGCTAGGATAGCAAAAGGCTTACTTTTGTGAAATTTTCCTTGTGCTGGTTGTGCTATCTTAATTCCCTTGTAATTTAGGCTCCGTTCAATTGGACTAGAATTTTCTGGTCATGTATGGTTAAAGTTGTCAATTTTAAGTCCTTTATAGTTCATTCTGGTTTGATATTAAATACATTTGATTGGTATGTGATGCAGGTCTGATTTGGGGTAGGGGTGGACTGGGTCGGGTCCGGGCCGGGCTGGGCTCCGGGTCCAAAATATCAGGCCCAGTACTGGCCTGGGTAGGTACTGGGTCGGGCTTTCATCCGTGCCTGGGTCGGGTCGGGCCAATTAATTCAAGCCCAAATTTATAAAAAAATGTCCGTTGGGCCTGGACCGGTCCACTAAATATTGATCCCGTAGCCCGCTGCTTCTTCACTCGGATCAGGCCCCAGGCCTGGTCCCGGTCAACCGGGCTGGGCCTGCACAGTGCCGGGCTGGGCCTGCGCAGTGCCGGGCCGTCCTGTCCCAGTCCACTCCTAGTTTTGGCTTGAAATGATATGATTTGGTTCGTTTAGATTGATTAGCTCATGTGAACAGGTTTTCAAGTTGGATTTGGAATCTGGATCGAGGGTGTAGGATCTAGTCTCCGATCAGGAGTAAATTATGATTGATTGGGTTTTTATGGTTGCTGTGAATCATTAACTATTATTTAATCATATTATTATATTTTTGTACATTATGAAGATATATAATAATCATGTTAACTAGTTGGCGTATTTTTTTAATCTGTAAATTTATCCATTGATTAAGAGTAAACAAAATATCTCAACTTCTCTTGATTCTTCAAAGTTAAAGGCCTGAGAAGTTATATAGGAATCACTACAAAAAAACAGCCCGTTTGTCACGGTTTTGTCACGGATACGGGTCGTGACAAATTGTCGCGGACTTTGTCACGGATTTATATTTGTCACGGATCTAATCCGTGACAAACAGCCTCCGGTGACCGGCAATTTACTCCGGCCAAAATTTATTTACTTCCGGGCACTTTGTCATAGACCAATCTGTGACAAATCTGTGACAAAATTAAAAAAAAATGTCACGGATCCGTCCGTGACAATGTCCGTGACAAAACCCAATATTTGCTAATCCAGCGGTCACCTAATTAATGTTGTATGAAAGGTGTTTGTCACAGATTTATTCGTGACAAATCCGTGACAAAAATTCCTATGTATCACAATATGGTTTCATTCGAGTGATATCATTTAGAATTTAATCAGAGTATAATACAATATCTGTTGAAAGATTGAAGGATGTTATCTATCAGTTTATCATTTTCCCTATTTATGCAGATAAGATATGTCATTTGAATTATGTATTTTTCTTAATTAGTATTAATTTTTTCATTGTAAATAATTAAAATTGTTAAATTAGTGAGGTTGTTAATTTATTAACAATATATTTAAATATAAACGTAATTTAGTTAAATTTAAATATTAGTTAATTGAAAATGGATTATAAAATTATTAGGTTTGTTAATTATATTAGCAATATTTTTAAGGAAAGATTGACAAGAATAATCTCACCTTTCACTGGTCTTCTCATAATAATCCCACCTTTAAATAATCCCAAAATAATCTCACTTTTGCATCTCATCTTCTTTCATTGGACCCTGACCAAGTTTTTTACCTTTTTTAAAAATCTTATATAAATAATCTCACATTTATAAGGATATAATTAAAAAGTGAAAGGTGAGATTATTTGTATAATTTTCAAAGAAAGAGTGAAAAACATGGTCAGGGTCTAATGAAAGAAGATGAGGTACAAAGATGGGATTATTTTGGGATTATTTAAAGGTGGGATTATTATGAGAAGACCAGTGAAAGGTGAGATTATTCTTGTCAATTTTTCCTATTTTTAATGCCCAATTTAGGATTTATAGTGATTTAAGTTAGGATTGAAATATTAGTTTAGTGTGAATTATTAGTTAAATGTATATATTAGTTATTTGAAATGAGTTTGAATTGATAATATTATTAGGTAATACCATTAATTTAGGATTTGAATTGATAATATTAGTTAAATTTAAATATTAGATGATTGAAATGGATTTAAATGTGAATTATGTGAATTTCATTTCATTTACATGTTAGTTAATTATTTATTGTGTATCGTTAGATTTTCATAATTTTAGTATTCTGAAGTAATGTCATTAACGTAATAATTTAGTGTATATTAATTAGTGTTAAAATCTTAATATTGTGAATTAGTTATTAATTTAAATGATTAATGCCATTAATTATTTATTGTGTATTATTTTTAATGCCTAATTTAGGATTTATAGTGATTTAAGTTAGGATTGAAACATTAGTTTAGTGTGAATTATTAGTTAAATGTAAATATTAGTTAATTGAAATGAGTTTGAATGGTTAATTGAACGTTACTTAATGTTTATAAATAAATTATAGTTTTTATAATATTAAACTAAATTTTTTTGATTATAATATTCAGGCATTATGTATAGACAAAATAGAAGTTGGATGTATGATAAACATGGCGAAAAAAGAGGAATGCGACCTCAATATTTTGAAGAAATTCAACAGTTTATTAAATTTGCACTTGAACATAAGGATCATATGGATGGTGATAGAATCAAATGTCCATGTGTCAAGTGTAAAAATCTCAAATTTAGAGACCCCGACGAGGTTGTGTGGCATTTGTACGAAAAAGGTTTCATCGACAATTATTACAATTGGAGGCGAACCTTTCCGATCCATCACTTTTACCACAACCAGTAGGTTCATCTCGTAACATCCCTAACGAGATGAGTGAGTAGGGAGATTATGCTCAAATGAACTGGGACCAAAGAATGGTATATGATGTATACGGTGCCTCGACGTCTCAGTTTAACCCTCCACAACCATTTAACGATCCTCCTGAAGCCTCAACCTCGTATCAACCATATGCGGATGAAAATCCGAATTCTCATGTCCCTAATATTGAAGGTTTAGCTGAGAGATTTCAAGATGTTCTAAAAGCTGCCGATCAACCTCTGTATGCTGATTGTGAGGGATACTCTCAGCTATCCGCCGTTTCGGAGTTGATGAACTTTAAAGCTGAGTACAAGCTTCCAGGAACCTGCATGTCTAGGTTGATGCAGTCAATTGGAGGAATGCTAACGCGTGACCATAGTCTTCCCGATTCATATTACAACATGAAGCAATTAATTTCTCAATTCGGGCTTCCTTGTATAGAAATTGATGTGTGCCCTAATGGATGTATGTTGTTCTGGAAGGATGATGAGACACTTGAGAGCTGCAAGTTCTGTGGTGGAGAGAGATACAAACTTGTTCCTCTAAAGAAAAAAAACCATGATATCGGTCTTCATTGTCTAAGTTGTTTTACCTCCCACTAGCTCCACGTCTAAAGAGGATATATGCTTCAAATGCTACTGCGAGACACATGACATGGCATGTTGAGAACGAAACCAAAGAGGGTTTGATGTCTCACCCTTTGGACTGTGAAGCTTGGAGACACTTTGATCGCTGTCATCCTCGGTTTGCAATGGAGTCACGGAATGTGCGACTCGGATTGTGTTCAGTCAGATTCGCTCCTTTTGGAAAGTTTGGTAAGAAATTTTCATGTTGGCCAATCATGTTAACTCCCTACAATCTACCTCCCGACATGTGCATGAAAAGTCATTTCATCTTTTTAACTTTAATTTGTCCAGGTCCCTCAGATCCTAAAAAAAGGATAGCCATCTATCTCCAACCCCTTATCGAGGAGATGAAAGAACTTTGAGTCATTGAGACACCAACTTTTGATGTTTCAAGATGTGAGATGTTTATCATGAAAGCTGTCATCATTTGGACCATTAGCGACTTCCCTGCATATGGTATGCTTTCAGGATGGAGCACACAAGGTCTTATGGGATGACCGATATGTATGGAGAAATCAAGTGCTAGTTGGCTCAAATTCAGCGGGAAACCAAATTACTTTGATTGTCATCGCAAATTCCTCCCGACAAACCATCAACATTGAAGGGACACAAAATCTTTCATTAAAGGAAGAGTGGTACGAGACCCCCCACCTCCGAGACTTACAGGCGAACAAATTTTTTACAGGGTTCGACGTATTCCTTCGACAGTGCAAGAGCCACACAAGGAGCCACATGGGTATTGTGATACCCATAAATAGACAAAGAGGAGTATATTTTGGGAGTTGCCATATTGGAAAAACTTGCTCATTCGTCACAATTTAGATGTAATGCACATTGAGAAGAACGTCTTTGACAATATATTTAACACGGTGATGGATTTCAAAGCCAAAACCAAAGACGGACTTGCATCTAGAAAAGACATGACAATGTGGTGTGATAGACCCGAACTTTCTGTTGATCTAGAACATACTGGTAATGTTCCAAAAGCAGTCTAATTATTCAAAAAATTATTCTAATTATTCCGTAACAAAAAAATTAATTTTTTTTATCAAAATAAAAAATATTTGTCACGGATAAATCCGTGACAAAATGAAAAATATTTGAATTCAAAAATTTCAAGTTACCCGCCTAGCCGATTTCGGATATTTCAAAAAACAATTCAAAAAACATTTGTCACGGATAAGTCCGTGACAAAATGAAATATTTGAATTCAAAAAATATCAAACTTCCGCGCCTAGCCCATTCCGGATATTTAAAAAAAAATCAAAAAACATTTGTCACTGACGAATCCGTGACAAATAAATACCGGCATTGCTCTGGTGCCTTATTTTGTCACGGATGGACGCTGTGACAAATCTGTGACAAGTTTTGTCACGAAATATTATCCGTGACAAACTTTTTAGTCACGCATTGTTGTCACGGATAATGCCGTGACAAAGTCCGTGATAAATTTTTTTTGTCACGATTTTTTTGAATTGAAATCCATGACAAAATCCGTGACATACATGATGTTTTTTTTGTAGCGAATATTGTTGACTTCTAAAGCCAAATTTGCAAAAACAAAACACAATGCCTGAATCGTAATATCAGGGAGGTTGATTTACCTAAACTGTTCAATGCTCACTAGGATATATGAGCGGATCATCATCATCAGTGAAATTAATTAATTAATTAATTAATGACTGCCACAGTCGCACGAAGCACAACTCCACCTCAGCTTTGGCTTGCTTTCTTGACAT